TGAGCCAAGTGGTGTCAAAATTAATTGTCATGTAGGCAGTCTCACCCTGTAAATACTGGGCTACATCCAAAGACCCGTTCCAACTTTCTGTCTAACATCTTGCTTGTCAGATTTTGTACCAGTCTCAGAAAAGTAGGCCATTTGCAGCTAAAAACTTTGGATGCAAAAGAGGAAACTTTACCAGAGAACTACCCTTAGCTCTTTATTGATTTAGGATAGCTATGAAAAAAACTTAAATGAGGTCTGGAAGAACTCTCCACACGGTTTGCAAAAAGCTGGACATTGTGGAGTCACAAGGTGACAAGGTCACCCAAGAGGGACACAGGTTAGCGAAACTTATAGCATTCTTCAGCAAATATCTGGACCACATGCTCATGGTAGATGGAAATGGGAAATTTTCCATAAACATACTATTGTTTAAAGTAACAATGCCTTATATTCAGAGTGAGCATGTAAGTGGGAAACACTGGGTATGAGAAATCATCCATACCTGCAAGTATGGACACTTGTCTGGGCTGCACAAGAAACAGATGTAGGAATTCCAGCACAATAGTTGTAGAGGGGGGCAGTATCTTAACCAATTGAAATAAACCAATAGGAAAATACCTGTGTGTCATCTTTGTAAGTGCTCTTAAATGCAAATCTCCAGAGCTAGGCAAGCAGGCTTGGGTGGTTGGAAACTCGAAAGTAAGTGGCGAGAGAGCTGTCAACAGCAATGACTACTGAACTATTTAAAGTGAGAAGAAAGCAAGCAACAGACATTAAGACCTTAAAACAAATAAATTCCTGTAATGTCTTCTCTAGTAAAATGATTTGGTTTGTAATTACAGGTCATATGATGCAGTTACAATTTTCTTACACATACTCACTCTTCATCCTGAGAGAAAACAATTTTCTCTCAATACCTCTGCTTATTTTCAAGAAAATTACACAGCAACTATAGTGTCTGTGCTTATAAAACATCTCAATATAATAATTACTTAAACGTCATCATTCCTTGAGGAAAAACAACTCTAGTATAATGTAAGACTGAAGTACAATTGTATTAAGAAATAAACTGGATTTGGGGCTAAGTTAATAATAATTATTTTTGTTTAGATTTGGAAATGATTTGCAAATTTCAGAAAAGTTATTTGTCCTGGATGCTGGAGCATCTGGGTCTAAAGATATGAAGCTGCTCCGAAATCACTTGCAAGAAATAAGAAGCCAGATAATTTCTGTAAGTAGTGTCTAATAGTCTGGGTTGGATGAGCCAAAATGTGAACTTGTCTTGTGTAATGATCTACTGTAAATTTCAAACTTAGAATAATGAAGCATACAGAAACCACTGTTGTTCCAATGTTGTAACAGCACACTTGACAGGTCTTGTGATGAACAAAGCCTTGACATCAAAGATTCAGTCAGCATTTTGAAAATAGTAGCTGTTTCAAGCAGATGACCAAAACACTCTCTGTTGAAAAGACACAATTTAAGATACCAGTTTAAAGTCAAAATTTTGGTTTTTGATTGGCAGTAATTGGATTCCAGTATTGGTCCCCCCTTTTGGGATTTTTTTTTTTTTTACTCAGCATAGTATTATAGAGAAACAGAGAAATACATTATAAATATATTTCAGGAAAATAAGTTTTTTCACTTATAAACCCACCCAGAGTAGAATAGTTTTCTGAACTGTTAGAAAGATAATTCCAGATATGGATAGGTAAACTGAATATGGCTATGTAAACTGAACATGTATTAACTTTTGACTGCATTTTTTAATTGAAAAATATTGCTTGCAGTTGTATCTGTATGTGTAGGGATATGCATATGAGACTAAAGGTAAAATGTAGCCATGGTCTGATGTTATCACCATGAATCCATGGAGACTTCCATAATAAGGGTGACCAAGTCAAATTTTTTGTAGCCTGTGCTAAATGGATTAATATCACGTTACACACCAACAAGATTTTCTGCAGCTACTTTTGAAACATATTTTTTTGTAATTGATTAAAAGTGGATGTATTACTGAGTTAATTCTGTGGGTTGAGGAAAATATTTAGATTCATGCAAAATTCATCTTTTTTACATTCCTGATGGTCTCTTGATTTTGTAAGCTTTTCTTCTCTAAGAAATCTTTATTATAGCTATAGTCACTAGCTTGAAATCTGAAGGGGTTTACTGCATAAGCAGTGGAGGCTGTAGCTTGAGAATGAGCAAGAAGGCATCAGTGAAGTCTAAGGCAATCAATACATCAAAGTACCATTTTTGCTTCTTATTTAGTACCCTACTGTCTCACCTTTTGAAGTAAATTGGTCCTGTAAAGATATTGATGAGTACAGATTCTAAGTAAATTATCATAATTTCAGAAATAAGCATTAACTTACAGATGCGTGATGGCAACTCATGGTGATATTTGGAAAATTTGCTTATTTCAGTGAAAAACTAGTTTCTGCAATTAACTTTTTTAAGAAAAGGTAGGTAGTTCTTATGGCACGTGAATGCCACATGAAAGAGTAAGGGTCCAGCCCAAAGGGAGCTCTTTAGATCTGAATATTCATTATAAATGCAGTAGACGTCCATATAAAAAAAAAAATAGTACCACTATTCTCAAGTGGATGTTTTCTGTGCTTTTCTAAGACTTGCCCACCTATGACTCACCTATGTGAAAAAATAATCTCCACACTGCCTTCCTGGAGAAAAATTAATGGGCCCAACCAGCTGATGTCCTTGCAGCAGTTTGTGTATGATGTACAGGAACATCTTAATCCCCTAGCAAGTGAAAATGACCTACGGCATATTGCACAGCAGTTGCATAGCATAGGAGAAGTAAGTATTTTTATCTAAATTACATTTCTTTATTTGCAAGATACCGTTCTGGTAGAATATTTCTTTATGAGTTTAAGCAAATGTCCAAACTTGTTTGGTTTTTTTTTTCTCTTCCTCTTAAGACATCATAAGTAGAGAATGCTTATTACCGCTTTCTGTTATCATTATGTCTTGCGGCTTCTGTTTTGTTAAAGGAATCTCTTTGAGACAGGAACAATTCCAGTTTATTGCTATAGTTATAAGTATAAAATACCCAAAAGGATCACTATGTTATCACCTTCAATGAAGTATTCACTGCATATGAGAGATTTATATGTGTCCACTGGAAATTGAGTAGTAGGATAATAGCTTTGCATAGATAGCTTGCAGGGCATGACTAGGCTTTCCAGCTGTTGGGCTCTAGTCATCTCATTACTAGTGGGAAATAACAACAAGATCTGGTTTTTCTTCTGAGTACTTGCCATATGTTTAAACACACTGTTGTTTTTTTCCTGTGAGCAGTTTTAATCAAAATGTCGGGTCAGTCTGTTAGGATGGCCTGGAGGTGACCTATCATCTTGTATTTCACAGGATGTAAACAGTAACTTTCATATTTATAAACAGATTAACATTATGCAGAGTGAAACTGTCCAAGATGTTGTGCTTCTGGATCCTCGCTGGCTCTGTTCTAATGTCCTTGGAAAAATCTTGTCAGTGGAGAACCCAAAAGCCCTCCATCACTACAGAGGTCGGTACACCATAGAGGACATCCAGCGGCTGGTGACAGATAGTGACGTGGAAGAACTGATACAGATTTTGGATGCCATGGATATTTGTGCAAGGGACCTTAGCAGTGGAGCAATGGTGGATATTCCAGCTCTCATAAAGACTGACAATCTTCACAGGTCTTGGACAGATGAGGAGGATGAAGTGCTGATTTATGGTGGTGTTAGAATCGTTCCTGTGGAACATCTTACCCCATTTCCTTGTGGAATTTTTCATAAAGTTCAGGTGAATCTCTGCAGGTGGATTCATCAGCAGAGCACAGAGGGAGATGCTGATATACGTCTGTGGGTAAATGGATCAAAGATTATGAATCGTGGAGCTGAGCTTTTAGTGCTGCTGGTCAACCATGGGCAGGGTATAGAGGTTCAAGTTAGAGGACTGGAAACAGAGAAGATCAAGTGCTGTTTACTTCTGGATTCTGTGTGCAGCACCATTGATAATTTAATAGCAACTACCTTACCAGGTCTTCTGACTGGGAAATATTACCTTAGTCCTCAGCAGCTGAGGGAACATCATGAACCAGTAATGGTCTACCAGCCTAGAGACTTTTTCCGTGCACAGAGTCAAAAGGAGACATCACTAACTAACACTATGGGGGGATATAAAGAGAGCTTTAGCAGTATACTGTGTTTTGGGTGTCTTGATGTTTACTCCCAGGGAAGCCTAGGAATGGATATTCATGTTTCTGATCTGAATCTACTTACCAGGAGAAAACTAAGTCGACTTTTGGATCCACCTGATCCAATGGGCAAAGACTGGTGCCTTCTTGCCATGAACCTGGGCCTCCCTGATCTTGTTGCAAAATACAATACAAATAATGGAACACAAAATTACTTTCTCTCAAGCCCAGTTCATGCCCTTCTGCAGGAATGGAGTAATGCACCTGACAGCACTGTAGGCATACTAATGTCTAAGCTGAGGGAATTAGGTCGCAGAGATGCAGCAGATTTCTTACTGAAGGCATCTTCAGTATTCAAAATTAATTTAGATCCTAATGGTCAAGAGGCTTATGCCTCCAGTTGCAACAGTGGCACATCTTATAACTCAATTAGTTCTGTAGTGTCACGGTAAGAGGAGGTATTTTGCATGGATATCCTTTCAAGGTGCAGAAAGGATAAAAGATGCAGTATAAAAGTTACAGTGCATACTAATTTATGAGCTTTTGCATCAGAGGATCCTTCTCTGGCACCACCTTTTTTGTGCATAAACTTTCTACTCCTAACTGTGAGTTGTTGCTCTTTATTAAAAAGACTGGTGTACTTCTGGTGGTTTAAAACTATTTCTGATTGAGAATGTGCTGCTTAATACTGCCATTTCAACTGGAAAGTCTTAACTTTTGGATTACGTACTGCAACTGTTTTATATAATTCTCCCCATAAAAGGTAGGGGGAGAGGAATAGCACATAGTACCTTATGTGTCTGTTTCTTACATTCTTTTTTTTTTTTTCCTTTTCACTGTGTCCTCTGCTTAACTTCTTTTTATATTTGTAAGGAGAGAAATCCACCATTTGTGGTCAATCTGACCAAACTTAAGTGCATCATTTTTAGCTGAAAAAGTGAGTGCCTTTTGCAGGAGGGAGGGTGCAGTTGATTTGAATGACCCTGCTGGAGTTACAAGAACATGCTACCTCTGTTTCACTTAAATTGTCTGCATGCTTATCATTGCAAGTGGTGCTTGCCTGTTAATTTTTCCTGCACTTCCAAGTCATTGGTGATGACTCACGCAGAGCATTCTTGTGCCAGTACTATAGGTATAGGTGTGATACCTAATCAATTTCAATTACAGTCAAATCATAATGTGAAATCTCTTAAACTTGCCAATTATCATGCTTTGTTATTTCCATGCACCTCAGGTAAAAGTTCTTTTCATTATAATAGAGTTCAAAAAATACGCGTGTTGGATACTGCAGAATAATATTGTCTAGCTGTCAGTTGTAATTTGTGTAACAAAGGTTTTCTATTATTAGATCCTGCATTACTTACTTCCTGTACTTGAACACTTTGATGGGGATAAAAAAAAAAAAAAAGGAAGCAAGGTTCCTTGCAGTGATAACTTTTAAAGTGATATGAGGGAATATAATCCATTCTCTATTCTTAAAAGCATGTAATTTTCATGGTGCGATATGTGTTTGTTTATATATATTGTATGTATATATATTAAGACTATTTTTTCCTTAATCTTACATTGTAGTAAATTTTAAAGGATTTTTTCTACAAATAAACTGTTGCTTGTTGCATCCTTGTTGATCACATTCTGTTGCTGAAGGGAATCAAAACTTCTTTTCTTTACAGTCATAATAGAGGACAGGCAATGCCTGCCTTCTGAAGGTCTTGGAGCTTCCTGTTTGACTTCAGGAGAATTTCTTAGTATGCTGCAGGGAATATTTATGGGGTTTTTTTTAATTGCAGAGGTGGTCCCAGTACAGCAGAAGAATCTGCATTCATTTTAACAAATGGCAAGCCAAAGTAGTTTGCTACATAGCTTTTCCTTTGTGGTTTTTTCATAATGGAAGCCAAAACAGCAAATGTGAGTCTGTCATCAGCAATTCTCCAAATAATGCTGTGCTGCAGAGAGAGAGGACACTGCATTAGAACTTGAGCTGCAATAATTGTCCTTTACCTTAAATATCCCCTAATCACACAAGGGACTCTGCTGGTGCTGCTTATTTAAAATCTCAGCATTACTCCCTGATAGCTGCACAGTCTTGATATGGCACACTCTGCAGGCAGCTTTGCATAATACCTCTGCTCTATGTATGCTGCAAAGGATTTAAGCAAGATCTCAACATGCTAGTTGCTGTTTCCCCTTGCCTTTCTTTGCCTATTTTACCCTTGCTTAATTAAATCCTTCCCCAGGTCCCATCTATTGCTGGGCTCCATAGTTAACCATTTTAAGGTCTAGTCCTCAATAAGAAGGATGGTTTAGGAGCAGTCCTACCCTGAGCTGTCAGTGTTTTGATATTCTGCTCCTGACAAACTGCATTCAGCATCTCCCACCGCTGCTCTAAGTGGCCCACTGCAGGGCCCAGCTCTATGCAGCCTGTATTTACCTCTGTCAATTAATGGCCACTACCATATTTCAGCTTCCAGCTGCGGACATATTTAGTACTTCTGTCAGATTCTGGTAAGTGGAGGGGTCTTTCTTGTGTCATAAAACTTCCTGGGTTTCTACTAGAAAAGGTTTCCTCACCTGCCCACCTCCCCAGATGCTTTATGCACACTTGATATGTGTGGTCACTTACAAACACCTTTTACTTTCTTTTTGTTTTTCCCTTCCCAACAGCATGTTTCTCACAGTTCCTTGCTTCCATGTACTGTAAAATACAGACCTGGCAGTATAAATTACTTAGTGGACTCTATGATGAGCCTTTGGCTAGCAGTCACAGTCTATTGCATCATTTACAGTTTTCATGGTAATAGGCTCAGGAAAGTGAATCAGAGTCACAGGATAGCTTGGATTCCTTTCTTATAAATCCTGTGCTACTGATTAAAAAAATTTAAAAATTGTTTCCTATATGACAATTTGGGGATTAAAAAAAGGCTAGCCAAATGTTACAAGTGAGCATCCCTTCCGTTGCTTCACTTTTGTTAATTATTTCATTTTGTGAATGTGACTAGGAGCAAAGCTTCATTCTACAGTTTTTACAACTGGGTTTAAAAGATGCAGAGATCCTGCCCTGACTCACTCCAGAAATGGAGAAAATGCAGGTCTTTGCAAAGTCAAGAGAGTTTAGTCATAAATGTACAGAATGTATAGTACCTGCAAGGAACATGATGAGCTTACCTCCTGACAGTGAAATAACTGAAACTGGAAGCTGATCTTACAGCTTCAGAGAAGAGCTGCTGAAACATAATCTTGGGAATAAACCAATGAACGACAATTTTCATTTTGTCTTCAAAATCCATAATACAGACAAACTCTGAAGTTTGCTGCTCAAGGCCAAGATGCATTACAGATTATCTTGCAGTTTAGAGAAGTATTCTTCTGGCACCCAGACTCAAATCTTGAAGAAATTTTCTGAAGAAGATAAGGAAGAAGCAAACACTTTAGTGCAGGCCATTTTTCCAATAATTCTCCCCAGCATGCAGCAGCATGCATCAAATAAATGAAGTGCTTCATATGACTATTTTTATTGGGTGTTATTGGTTGTACTATTTTTGGAAATTTTGTTGTTGACCTAGTTGAACCCTGTTGAGTTTAGAAAGCCACAAGAGATCAGTGGTTACAGGGAAATGATTTTAAGGTAGGCCAAGGGCATCCAGAGACAGCCTCAGGTGGAGGTGGATATATATGATTTTTTCTCACCTTGAAAGGATGAGGAGACAAGGGCAAGATGCAGAGAGTCACAGGTTTTAGGACCTTTGGGATTCAAGTGATTGAAAAAATTATGAAACTACAAGAGCTTAGAAACTCCCAAATGTCACGTGCTTGACAGAGCGAGGAGATTTAGAAAGGAGCCAGTTTCCTAAATGGTCAGGCCTTATAGAGAGCAACAGTGGAGTTTTTAGGGCTGGCTGTGCTGGAGCCAGTTCCATGTCCTAAACCTCTGTTGGCTGTGTTCCTCCCTCAAAGGAGAAATTACCTCCCTAATTCATTGAAACCTTTTTATTGCAGAGATGCTGCGTTACAGCATTATTGTTTAAAACAGGTGCCTCAATTGAATTGCATCACTATTTCAACTTTGACAATGAAATGGAGAAGTAATGCCTGAATTGTAACTCCAAAGAAAGTAAAGGAAGCATGCTGTTGGCTAAGTCAGGGGAGATGGAGCATTGCAGTATCTTTGAAGCTAGCCTAGAAGCACTCTGCACGATATTGAAATTTATTTGTTTGATTTTTCATTTGTTAAACTCAGTCCACTGTGTCAAAAAAAAAAAAAAAACTCACTCACATTTCTTTTCAGGCATTGTCTGACTCAGAAGACAAGGCAGTGGGTGGAAAAGAGAAAGAAAATTGGTTTCCAACAATGCCTAAGGCTTCCAAAAGGGTTATAGCCAAGCCACTCAGACATTGCAAGTAGAAGTACTTGTTCTTCAAAAGTCAGATGAGCAGTATATAGAAGGGAACTGATGGTATTACTCTGTATGGCTACACCATTTATCATAACAAGCTTTACAGGAGCTGTGGGATCAGCAGCTATGCTGCCTCAAAGCCAGCTAAGGATCTCAGTGGATCTGATTCAGTTTTGCATTAACCAAACTGACCCAGCATTTCTGCACCAGCCAGACTACTTTGGGTGAGATCCAAATCCAACACATGCATCTTTAAAAATCATTTTTTAGAAAGCAATTTTGTTGCTGAGTCAGTTGGATGTAGCTTAAAATTCACTGGCCTGCCCTGAGACAAGACAAACCTGGACCACCTTGCCCAAACTCTGGCTCCTGCTGTCACCAAGCCTAGGACACCAATATGCATATGCTAGGCAGAGAGGAAGACAGAAAAATTTAGGGCAGGGTGACGAGGGGATCTCAAACAGGAATGACTGCTTGGACGTGCTGCATCTGACATGGGTTTCTTGGCAAAGAGATGCCAACAGCCTGAGCCCACACATACTCCTCCTGCAGAAATGTAGCACCTGCTGCAATGGTCTAGGCATATCCGGTGGCTCTGTGTCCTGGCTCATGAATACGCACTCTGTTGTATCTGCACAGGATTCAGAATGCAGCTTGGTGAGATATGTTCCCTATGGATTCAGGCACAGTCACAGCTGATATACCTGGAGACTATATGTGGACTGGAAGTATATGTGTTATCTGGAAGTTAACTGGAAGTATGTGTTAATATCTGGACTATATGTGTTGGAAGTATAGTCAGGATGCTTCTGCTTCACCTCATCAGTTGAAGCTGGAGGGCTGGGGGAGAGGGTTGGAATCTGCATGAGTAAGGACTGAGTGAGACACCAGCATGTGGTGCACAGGGAGGGGAGGATGAAGTTGTACTTTTCAAAACTGCTGTCAGAGAAACGTGGGAGAGAGGAGAAGGCTCTTGCATTAGCAGGGTTAGATTGCTGATGTTAAAAGACAGCATGTGTATGACTCTTTGAGTCATCCTCTGCTTCACTTTTTGAGCTGTTCATTACATTGCAAAATCAACTTTTTAGCCTGGCCACAAAGAAGTACAGTTTGATTAGTCCATTTCCCATGAAGGATTAATCATCTTCACTTTCAGACCCCCTACAAAGGACTGCTTACAAGTCAAAACAGATGTAGCAATCAGCTAAGTAAAAGAAGCGCAGAGAGAAGATTAGCAATGAATCCCGCCATCACTAAATTTACCTACACAGCTCTTTAACTTTGTGCCATTTTTGCATCTTTCTATTGGCTGCAAATGTGAGAAAAAAAGTACTCTGCAGAGTGCTGTGTGCAATCAATTACTGCTAAGCCAAAATTTTCATTACTGGAAAAACAACAGGTACAAGTCTGAAATTTTGTGCCAAAGGCAATGTGTCAGTGCATATGAGAATCTGTGTAGGTCCAGACAAGTTGTAGGACAGAGACATATCCTATTCTCCTAAGCTATAGTATGGATTATTTCATCATTCCTAAGGTATGTATCTGCAGAAGCAGGAAAGACATCTCTTTAGAAGTGTTTCCCAATAACACCTGATAGCTAGGATTAGACTCGGATTTGGTTATACTTAAGAGATTAACAACCACCCTCTACTACAACTAGAACACTTCAAATAAAAATTTTCTACAGACCCCTGGGGATTGTATTGGCAGCTAGAGAATGTTGTAACAATTACCCTGAAAAACATGGAAGAAGGTGAGTCACCATAACCAAATTACCATCAGATAGGATGGGCTAAATTTCCTCAGTTGCTCACAGTCAGAAGGAATATCACTTGCAGCTGCTAGACCTGGTAGTCAGGTACCAGTACAGGTTTTAGAGGAAGCTTAAGGCATCATCTGCAGTATCAATCTGCTTATAGAGACTCAGAAAGGAGCTGCATGAATGTTTATACTGATGGATTAGCACAGTTTCCATGTAGGCTTCAAGAACTGAATCAAAGCAAAAAGCTTGCAAGTGCTAATGTGAAGAGGAAGATTTCCAAGCCTTTTTATCCCAGGTAATAACACCTACCTGAGTGTAAATCACTTATTGTTGCCATCCCAGGAAAATGCAGAAAGGAACCTATCCAGGTGCCAATCTGGGTCTACAGGACAGATATGAATAGATGAATGCAAAGCTACCGTGTGACCTCCCACTTGCCATTCATTCTCCAAGACATACTGTTGGTTTGTACTTAGCAAAACAGAGAGAATATTTTTCATCAGAAGGTGAAGGAGAGTTACAGGAAGAACAACCTCCTCAGCTGTGACTTAGCACCATGCAGTTGTCCTGTTTCTTACTATCATGGCTAGGAAAGCTCTACAGAACTCCCACAGTCACCAAAGAAAAGCATGCCAGAGAGAAATTCTGCTTTTTTTTATACATTCATCTTCAGTGAGGATGTTGAGTTATTTAAACATTGAGTCTTCCCTGCTAGCATAGTATTTTCACAATTCCCTTATCAGAGCCACCTTTCTGCTTTAAATTGCTCACTGCAGGAAAGAGTGCTTCATCACTCATGTGAAACACTGTCTGTGGCACCAGGTGAGCCAGGCATTGCATAGAAGGAGATCACAGGTCAAAGCAAATGCATTGGGTGCTTCTTAGATACACAAGATGGTCCTAAGGGCCTCTTTCTTCTATCAGTTCAACCATGTGCCCAGCTCCAGCAAAATTCACCTGCACAGTGTGAATGTGATCCCTGAATTTCCCATAGATATACCTGTAAATACCAAAATATAGCATCTGGTGAGGAGAACAGAGGTGCAACTGTTTTATGTTTTTCTTTCTTTCTTTATGATTTATTGGGTGCTAGATTTAAAGCATCTTTCACATTGCACCACTGAGCTCAGGAGCAGCCTTCATAATCACAAAGGGGTCTCACTAAACTCAAGTTTGATGTTCGTGTGTAGTGGCAATACTGCATCAAGCACTAAGGGGAACATTCCTTCCTCTTTCAGAGTTCATTGGACTACACCTTTTTATTTCCAGAAGTGAAGCCAACATATATAAAAACTGCTGGAAAACCCTTGTTTTCAGCAAATATTTATCATCATCATCTCTGATGCACATTGTTTTTAGTGTGTTTCAATGAAATCTCTAAAAGAAAAGTTTTCTCCAATAGAAAAACATAATCTTTGGCAGAAATTGTCCATAATCTCCTAAAAGAGACTTTTCTGCCAACTGTTACTTTGACTGGTAAGTGAAGTAACATGCAAATTGTTTCTGTTGTTAGAAAACCTAGTTTCAAAATCTGGTATCAAAACACTCCTGCAATCCACTATCAATCTGAAGCCACAACTCTTTGTTACACATCTACATAGCGATACCCCAGTGGAGTCATGAGTTCAGTGTGCCTTTGCATAACAGACAGAAGTTATGGTGGTTTAACACCAGCAGGAAATTAAACCCAAATAAACCACTGCCCTTACCCCAAAAGGTTCCAGTAAGGGAGGGACAAAGGCAGAGGCTATGGGCTGAGATAACAATTTCCTGCAAAAGACAATGGAGTAAGAAACAGGCAATAACAACAAAATGAATACCAAAAGTATGCCAAGAGAGAAAGTGTTTTACATACAGAAATGTATTCACCCTCAGGAATGCAAACAAGATAGCAGATGCTCCCCGAAGGTCACACCCACATGGCTCCCCAGACAAAGGCACTATGGCAACCTTCCCATGCCCTGCACCAGTCCAGAACAAGGGCTAAGAGAAGGGGGGGCTCCCGCAGACAGTGCTTCCCAACAGCTTCCCAATGGAGAGGGGGAGGCAAAATTGCACCTTTCTACTGGGGCAGCTGGGTTTTCCTGCCAAAGCCATGCTTTCAGGCATGATGTGGGAGGTGTGGAAGAACAACCTGGTGAGGCCTGCTGCAGCACTCAGCCCCACCTCTCCCTGCCACCAGCAGAGCCTGAAGGAAGACCACCTAAGAGGAATTTAGAGCCTTGCATACACACATACACAGCAGGCATGAAGACTGTTATGCCACTGCAACCTTATTATTAACATCCACCCAGCCCAGAGCCACATTTTGCATGAGCTAAAGCCAATTTCCATTTGTAGCTTGGAGAAACTGATCTGCAGACCTAATCTCAGCCAACTCAAGGGTTTACATTTCTATGCCAGTGCTGAGGTTAACCTCAAAAAGTAAAGCGTGCAAACAATGACAATTTTGGGAAGCAGATCAGTTGCAAATACAGTAATTTTAGTTGTAACAAGAAGCTGTTTGTATCCTCTTTCTCCAATTTCCAGTTTTAAAACTTATCTGCCAGGTGAATTAATTTGTCTTTTTCAAATCTAGGAAACATAATGAAGTATGGAAATCTTGTAGTGCAAGTGATTTTGGCTATATTGTGAAACAAGACAATTAAGAAGTTGGGCTGGAATTGCTCATTGAAAATATTGTCCAAGAGCACAGTCTTCCATGCCAAGAGAGTCTGATTTCTGCCTCCTCTGCTTGGTACAAGTGTTTCCTCTGTGTGCCCAGCAGAAGACTCTCTACTGTGGACCAGAGGGAGGTTCCCAGCATTTAAAAATCCCAGCTGGAGACACATGGTGTCACATTTGTAATTCCGACAAGGTCTTTATTAGCACTGCCAACAACGGGGATTTTTTGAGTGTTCTGTTGCCATCAGGGGGGGTGTGGTGCAAGGTTATTAAACTGCCTCTGCCACTTAGTTTTCATCTGACACATGCTTAATTGTGAGGATGTCCTTCCTCTTATTAGTGTTTGAATCAGTCCCACTGTTGATGAGAAGTGTTGTCCAAATCATGTTTTACAGTAAAAAGTATTTAAAGCCACTGCCACAGTATTATGGCAGAGGGAAGTTCAGATGACATTGTGTCCTCACATTTCCCAGCATCAGCCAGGAACAGCACCGTCTTATTCCTGATGGGCAGAGATGCAGTAGTTGACATGACAAAGGGACTGGCCTGGATGCCCCTATGGGGAGAGGAGGGCTGCAGTGTAACCCATAAGTAAGAGAGACTTTATTCAATATTCTCTGTCATTTCCTGCTATTTCTGTTAATTATTTGGAAGGAAACTGGTGTTGCAGGTAGAATGGGAATGTGAAGAAGAAGGAGATGTGTGAATTATGTGGCTTCTCAACCTCGTTGAATGCTCGGGAATATTATGTACTAGTAGCTGTTGATCAAAGGTGCAGTGTTCAGATGCTAAGGACTGAAATCAGAGTCTAGGGTCAAAAAAAGGTTCATTTTCTTGCATAAGGAACAAATTTCACAAGCTGTGTAGCTTTGCTATATCATAAATTGTTCTAGTCCTTCCTTCCAGCTTTTAATACATCAGGGCATCGAATTACAGTGACAGTTTCAAAACTTGGAAGCCAGATGTGCTTCTCCTAATCTCTGCTCCCTGAAGACTACCTGTGATTACTAACTCCAACAAGCCAAGTAAATAAAACGCTTTGAGGAATGGGAACGGAATAATTAAGTGTTGAAATAATCAGACTAGAAAACAGCACTCACCTTTGGAAAACATCTCCACTGTTTTCTGCAGAGGGCAGAGACAGCTTTAAATGGCAGCTGGAGGCAATGACAAGTCCTCTTCATTACTCCCCATGATGCAGAGTCTTGGAAAAGGGAGGCCCTTGTTCATCCGCAGTCCGGGTAAACAAGGCACCTGGAAAGTAAGATAAGCCACACTTTCTAAAGCCAGTCCATGTTCTGGTATGGTTTCCTGGAGAGCCCTGTACATCCAGTTCTGAGAGTCCCTTTAGACTGTTTTGTAAGAGGGAGTCTAATTCTTCCAGCTTACTAAGTGCTGTGTTCAGCTTACCTAAGCTGTCTTGTAAATGTGTAGCTAGTGTGAAACAGTAAACAAAACTAAGCATGCAGCAGCTAACATAACTCCACATTTGGAGCAGAGAACAGCAGGTGCTCTTCTGGATGATAGCCACAGTTCAAAGCCTTAGTCCATGTGTTTTGATCAGGAGACTGCTGGCAACTGATCAACAAATGTGACCAAGGCTGACGTCACCTGTTTGTTGTTGGTGTGTGAAAGTGCATGTGTGTTTATAACTGGAGTCAGGACAGATGACAGCAGCTAGGTACGCTGTTGCAGCAACTTCTGTGTTTCTCACATTTTGCTTTTTTCTACTTTTTAGTTTTACTTACGTCCAGAATGTTTGGGCAAAAATGGAGAGAGAGTAATAGAGAGTTTATATAGGATGTGTATATGTAAGGCTAGGCGTATTAGATACTGGTTGGTGTGAATCTCTGCCTGTGACAGAAGAGATTTTAACCAGGTTCTGCCATAAGTCAGCACTCTAGTCCCAACACTGTAAATTTTGATCGTCAATTTTTCCTGGGTTTCTTAAATTAATCTAATGCTGTGTTGCACCAGAAGGGCAAGACCTGTCCTATCCACCCTTGCTTTGCAGTCTTTTAGGTCCACACTAATACCTGGGATGCTCAGCCAGTTCAGCTCACTCATCCATCAGGAGGAAGCTTTGAGGGCATTGTCTGCAGGCCAATGAGCTTGCTGCTACAGCTTAGATCAGAAATGAGAATTGACAGAAGAGGGAAGTCCAGAATGTCTTTTTTTCAGAATTAATCCTTGTTCAAATCAGCCTGAACTGCTTGGTAAACCACACCCATAAATACTTTCAAACTATGCAAAGGTTTAACTTCAGTATTTGTTTTAGCTAGAAGTATTTCCATAAGCTCTGGTTAAACTGTCTAGATGCAAGTAGCTCTTGGCAGAATAAAAAATGTTCCTCTACCCACTTCCAGGGAAACAGCAGCTATCCCAAATCCAGAAACACTAGCAGATGTGAGCTGGGAAAGCCTGTACCTGGAGAATGTTCAACCTCCTGGGCAAGCCCTGAGTACCCCTGGAGAGGACAGCACCACAAAAGCAGCACTATGGGACTGACCTCTCCTGACTCGCGGCACTCTCTTCAGTACCAGGTTACTCCTGTTAGAAAATGGAGAGTGACACCCACAGCTCTTTCCTTCTTTGCTCAAGCACCTGGGTACAGCTAATTCTGGTCTATTTGGTGATGAAGGCAGGGTTAGTACTGAAGAAAGGAAAAGGAAGTTTTCTGTGCTCTTGCCTTGCGCCACAGGATTCCTGTGCTGAAGTCACAGAGTCCTTCCTCGACCCTGCTCTCTTGTGGTGTGCTGACAGTCCTGCCCTGCCTGCAAGGGCTGGGCTGCAACTCAGCTGAGGGAATGTTTCTGAAACTAGTTCAAGTCTCAGTGCTGCAGAAGCTCTTGAGCTTTCAAATGACCATGACTTTTGCTAAGCTCTTTAGAGCTGTATAGGCTATGCAGGTCCTGCAGCACTTTCACAGGTGCAGGACCTGTGCAGATTTGAGCCATTACCACCTCACCTCAACAGGGCCTAGACTTTACAGGCTGCAACAAAGCAAGCACTGGCAGGAGAGAGGCTAGATGGAGGTGTGGATGAAAAGGTACAGAACATGAAGAAGAAATGCGGTACTACTCACTATTAAATGTTTTTAAGCAAAACTCATCTGTGTGTCATCTGCCCCCTTTCATCTTTTTCATTATATCCATCAGATATCTTTAGTCTATTGGCTTTTGGATTGATTGCTTTCAGTCTGAAAAGAAAGGGGAAAAAACACATAGGCAGCAGCTGATGCAAATGTTGCTTCCTAAACCAATATAATGAGCAAGTTTAATTTTAAATTCAAAGTACTGTTACAAAGCAAGACTCAATGTTCCATTTATTGCACACCCAATACCACTAGTGGTTTCAACACCTGAGTCTACATCATTCTGTCTGGGTTCAATTATCCATAAAAAAAATAAGCCAACAAATCATGCTAGTTCTGTCAGTGGGTCAGAAAGCATTTTCCTGTATTTGAACAAACCCTGATGAATTTAAGGGATATTCTGTGATCCTGCTTCTGAAGAACAGTCTTCATTTAATCTGTTCACTCTTCGCCCTCAAAGCAGCGGGGTTTGCCATACTGAGGCTGGCACATGGCTCCAGGTGTCTGCAGGGGCCATGCTCCAGGACCAGCCTTCCAAGAAAGTCACCACGCTGACAGCTAGAGCAGAGGTCATCTTGGACCCTGACACCAGGTCAAGTGTGACCAAGAATTAAGACATTGCTTTTGGATGGTGGGTTTTCTAGGTATTGCAGCTGGATATCAGACTATGGACAGTACCACAGCTAAACTGTTTCTGCAGATTAGCATGAACTTATTCTCTGAGTGGCTCACATTTTCTTACTAAAGAATTTACAGCACCTCTCTTCTCACAATATGACCCTGCTTGCTGGGAAGCAGGCAACTTTTTGTAACAGTATCAGCTGCAGACTTACCAATGATGCATCCTCCTCACATTTCTCCCTGCCCTCAGATGTTTTCTGCACTGTGGGGAAGATATGCAGATTGGGAAAATGACACTTCATGTGAATGGAAGATGGTATTCATTTTTACAACTTCCAGAGTCTTTGTGTCTCTAAATCACGTGTTATAAAAACAGGAGTACAGACAGCTATTTTGAATTGTATTAACATGCATGTTTTGTCTTTTATTTACTTTTGTTTACATTAATTTATTGCAGCTTTGGAAATCTGAATTTGTGAATTATTTCCTCTTCACATATAAAGCAAATGTACAGACGCATCAAAACAAATAAGTAGAAAGGACTGGGCTGTGCTGTGGGGAAAAGCTGTCCAGTTCACAGCAGGCAAAGGATCTGTCATTGCTTCAGATGTAGATAACAGCAGCCTTTCGGCCCACTTCCAAAATGCAGAGGTAGAACATTTACCTCTCCAGCAATTAAAAAAATACACTAGCTAGGATATGAGATACATTTGCAATGACTTAACAGACATAAACATGAAATGGAAATGAAAAGAAACAAGAATTGTTCAGGATAAAGAAAGATGGGGTCAACTGAAGAGGCGTTTAAAAGATGGTTTATTGCAAAATAAGTCTCATGGAATAATCACATTAGAAGCCACACATTAGATGCCTTGTATCAGACACCGTTATAATTCTAGTAACAATGTCTTTCATAAATTTCTTATTCTAAACTTCCACATCTTCATAAGCAATTTCTAATTGCTGTTTTACATGATTTGCTACAATGCATCTTTTTCTATCCAATCATATGACTCTACAGAAACTTATTGCTGTATCTTCTACTTTTTATCAACTCTACAAGTTCTATTGTGAAACTTTAATTGTATTCTACTATCTTGCTTAGCATATTTGTTCACTTATATGAGGCCTACATCTACTTGCTTAAAACATATTTCTGCTTAAACAACAAATCTTTATTCTTATTTCATGTCTGTTTCACTAGTCTATTCTAAACCTTCAAGCCTTCTTCAAGGTCTAAAGTCAAACACTGTATCTATGTCTATCTCTGAGCTTGTATGCTCAAGGCCTTGGAAGCTTTCTGTGCCTTCATTTCTCACAGAGACTTCATTCAAGTGAAAAAGAAGAGACAGGTGAGAAGGCAAAATGTAAGCAAGCAGGTTTGTCACGTAAGCAATTCTTCCAGGATCTAGATTAGTAATTTTTCTGTTTTAAAAACTGGGGGTTTTTTCTTTTCTTTTTTTTTTTTTTTTTTTTTTTTTTTTTTTTTTTTTTTTCTTGCTTAAATGTTTATGGGTGTTTTCTTTAAACTGTTCAAAACTGCTTCAATAGTTGAGTACAGGGAAAAACTAAGAGAACATGGTTGGGCAGAGGAGTCGCCCAACTAGCCTGTGTGAAGATACTTCCCTGCACAAGTACTTTAGGTAGGAAAAACCCACTAAGTACCTTTGAGGAATAAACTGAGAAGTCCAAATGTTGAAGATTTTGTTGGAAGCAAAGATCTTCTTGGAGAAAGTAATCTGTAGACATCCTCTTTTCTGGTCTCATTTTCCCCTGCTAAGACAGCAAGTAAGCCAGGCTTTTTCACTAGTTAGGTATTTATCAGTATTATTAGGGCAGGAGAGGGAGAACAGTCTCATATTCTGAAGCTCAGTTTCTGTAAAGAAACAGGAACCTGATTGATTTACTCAGAAGACTTGTTTTTGCAGTATAAAAACATGCAGCTCCTACTAGTATCCACTGGAATTTGACAACTTTCTAAAACCTGCCTTTTGACAGCATCAATAACCAGGCATACAAAGCACCTCTGATGTAGCAGTTCCTGGTTGTAGCAGTTTGTTTACCCAGTAGCACTGAGAGAATAACATGCCCATATCTCTCTGTAAGGAGGCTTCCAGGAGCTGCCTCCAGCTTGCAGACACAGGCACTGTTGCTGGCTCTTTAGCACAGACACAGGTTCAGTCTTGTCATCAATGAGGAGGGGGAGGCAGTATAAGGGACTTTAGAGAGCATCCTCAAAGGACTCTAATGTGGTATATGCCAGCTAAGGGTTTCATGTAATAGCAATTGTCACATGAAAGAGAAGGGACTGCAAGTGAATACAGTGATGGGCAACTGTGCAAACCCCAGCCTGTTGTGAGTCAGTTACAAGTAACATGCACCTGGCAGTGCAAAGATGCTTCCAGCCAGCTCTTTACACTACTCTAAGTTAATACAGTTCCAGAGCCAAGAGCAGCTGTGATGCCTGCTTGCTCATTATTAAATGTTAGAATAGTATTTGGTGCTGGTTCTATCCTAAAAGTCATCCAGACTAGAACTGCAGGTGCTGCACTTTGGTATGAATCATAGCATAAACATTGCCACAGTCACTGCTTGTCACAAACAGGTTTATTTCAAAATGACCATTGCTAAATTCCTGCTTTGTTTGGCTGTTTTACAATTCTTCCTCAATTCCTGACAGCACAC